AAATGATGCTGGCTGGTCTTGTTATGTGGTTTAAGCTCAAAAGAACTTGGGCTTCTTCTCCCATTTCAGCTTTCCAAGTGCTGAGATGATAGGTGTGCTCCACCATACCTAGTTTTAGTAGTGTTACTATTATCACACATCTTTTGTTCGTGAAGAATTGCCATTTTCTGATGTGTGGTACACTTGTAGATGCAGAGCTTTACATCAGGTGTTTTTCCATTGCCTTCCTTAATTTAGAATCTTTTAAACAATTATATACTTGTTTTGTTTATGTGTGTGCACTCACAGAAACATGACATGGTGGCCATGTGGAGGTCAGAGAACAATGGGTGGGGGTTGGCTCTCTCCTTCCACCATGTGAGTCCTGGTGATCAGGTCCTCCTGATCAGGTCATCAGGCTTGACATCTGGGTGGCCCGCTAGCTTCTTTTTCCTGTTTAAACTTTTTAAAAAAGTGTGTGTGTGTGTGTGTGTGTGTGTGTGTGTGTGTATATGGGTGGATGTGTGGGTGAGTACACACATGCACTAAGTGTGTGGAGGACCCTGGAGCTGGAGTTAAACAGTAGGTAGTCATAAGCTTCCCATTGTGGGTACTGGGAATCAAACTTGAGTCCTCTGGACAGGCAGTCAGCACTTGTAATTGCTAAGCCATCTCCAGTCCTTTCGCTTTACTTTTTGAGATAGGGTTGCTCATGGATTACTGATTGGCTAGACCAGATGGCCAGGAAGCCTCCTGGATCCTCTATTTCACAGTGTTGGGATTGTAAGTATGCTTTTATTTAGGTCCTTAGGATTATGGGTCACTCTGTTTCTAATGTGGATGATAGTTGTGGCTGTTTCTTGCTTGAAAACTACTATTTCTAGTATTAGCTTATACCATAATTTGGTAGACTTAAAACACACATAAATGACATGCAGATACACTCTGGTTTACTTTTAGCTGTAGCCGTTAATCTGATTTTCTTGGAACCAAACAAGAAGCATCTGGCATAAAAACAAAGACAAGAAAACATCCCAAACCCAAAACTTCCTGTCTGTTGTTAAGTTCATGCCTTTCTAAAATGTGGCTGAAAGAGAATGTCAGTTAAATGCATCAAAGATAGCCTCAAGAGGACCAGTATGTGTCTGTCTCAGTAAGGAAAGAAAACAAAGCACTTGGATTGGTTTGACTGAGAGGAAGCCCAAGTTTGAATTCTCCACTTCTTCCCCGTGTCTTCCATCTGCAGCTTACTGTTTCTGGTTCATTTATAATCTGTCTGTGTCTGTCTGTGCCTGCCTGATGTCTGACTGTCTGTCCCTAACAAAGGGCTTTGTTCTGTCTTTATTGAACAGCACAGAAAGCGTCACATGGGGAAGGAATGGGACACTTTACAGAAATCTTTAACGGAGTGTTACAAAGGATGAAGTCACTCCAACTGACCCAGCTGATCCAGATAACAAACAGTACTACAAACATTCCATCATCAAGCAATGTCTGTTTCCAGTCTTTATGGATGATATTTGCTGTATAAGGTCATTTTTAATATGTTTACTCCTTTCACCAAATGATTGTCATGACACACACATACACATTTATTGTTCTCTGGGTCAGTGGCGTGGAAGACTACATAATTTAAGATGAAAACTTTGCATAAGTTTAGGTTGTTGAAGCTGATTGTATGGGAAATCAAGGCACATAAGGCTGGTTGTTACATTGTTCTGTTAAAGGCGGTGTAAACAAAGGCTGAGGACACAGCAGGACAGCAGTCTTAAGTCTCAAGTGACCTCAGTGCCTATTATTAACTGGGCAGTGAAGTCCAGCAAAAGTTCCAGTCTCTTTGAATGTAAGTCGTCGTCTCATAAAATATATTATCACAAATAAAATCTTCTGAAATTAGTTGTTCTTAAAATAAGCACTGTAAATTCTATAGTATTAAATTATTCTTCATATCATGCATTTAAACATTAAGCTAAATAGGACTGAACTGTTCTTAATATAGCTAAGACTGACTAATCATGGTATATTTGCAGAGGCAGGTGGGTCTCTTGAGTTTAAGGCCAGCCTGGTCTACAGATCGAGTTCCAGGACAGCCAGGGCTGTTATAGTGAGATCCTGTATTTGAACACGGAATCCTGCCCTTTCCTAGTTGGTAGTTGTGTAGTTTTTAGTAAATTATGTGAGCCTTCAGTCTTTTAATTTGTAAAATGTGAGTAGAATTCTAGTAATGACTAGTAACAGTGTGGATTGAGTATCCCTAGGAACAGAAGTGTTTTGGGTTGTCTGTCTTTCAGTTGAGAATATTTGCATGCACATTATGTGTTATCTTAGGGATGACACCCAAATCTAAACATGAAATTCATTCATTTTTCATGTACACCTAATGTACACAAACTGACAGCAATTTTATATAGTATTTAAAAAATAATTTTGTGTGTGTAACAAAGTTTTATGGTATGGAGTTTTTTGTTTGCATCAAATTGCTACTCAGGAAGTTTGGGATTTTAGAGTATTTTTAATTTCACATCAGAGATACTCAACTTTTGTATCAGTTAGAGGTTTTTCTTTGATACCTGTAAATTCCTGGGAATGTTGCTCAGCAGAATCTAATGTTCTTTTCATTCTTGTGTGAGATCAACATTAAAAGGTCATCTCTTTTTTTCTTTTTGGTTTTGAAAAGTTAGCAAAGGCAGATTAATCACTCTCAATTTGATTTTCCTGTGATAAATTGCTTAAACTTCTCTTACAGGACTTAGTACTTTATTACCCCAAACATCTTCTCTGTGTACTCAACCACTCCAAGATCATAAACACCCCTGGACAGTGTCTAGTCTCTCCCTGTTGCTGTAACAATGTATTAGGACAAGAGCAACTTAGGAGAGGAAGGGTTGCTTTCTGGGTCATAGTTCAAGGTGTAATCTAATATGATAGAATAGAATAGTGAATGGCAGTATAGTATGGTGCAGATACTCTTAGTGTAGTGTTTTGAGTTTCATGGCTTCTGTTTTTCTGTTCTATTACTGTAGAAATATATTTTGAAAATAATTTTGTGTATGACACAGTAACGTGTTTCTGTAGTTCTAGATGTTTGGAGCCAGAAGTGGGAGGATTGCTTAAGCATAGGTATTTGAGATCAGCCTAGGTAGGTAACATAGTAGAACTCTGTTCCAACATTAGTAAGAAGCACAGTTGCTGGACTGGTGTATAGGCTCTTTTGAATGCTTGAATTTGAGGCAGGCAATGCAGAGCTTACTAGAAACTTTTGTTGTTGTACTGGGGACAGAACTGTTGTGTGACAAAACTTTTCTTGGGGAGACACCATACACATCTACTTATCTCAGACAGGGATCCCATGATAGACCAAGTATAAAGGCCAACTTGATGAACCAATGAGTTTATTGGGTTACTTAAGATGGGTGAGGGGTCACCTACAGGAACAGAAATGACTCAAAGACAGCTGCATCATCAAGGCCCAAGCATTGGTGGCAGCTCACAAAGCTGGGAACATGGAGCGCACTGCACAGTCTGCAGGCAGCTCCACAGGTGGGACAGTGTCCTTTCTAGGTGTCTCAGTTGGTCTAAACCTCTTCCAGGTAGTCCCACTGGTTTCTGCTTCTTCCAGGCAGCTGGTCTGGTCTCAGTTTTCTCTGTAGCTTGTCTTGTCTGAGAGTCGTCTTTGGGGAGGGGCCTAGTTAATCTTTTCAGTTTCAGGAACTCCTGGAAAGTCACCCATGCTGGGGTGGGTTTTGATCTGTCATGGGATCTCTTTCTGGGGTGAGTAGGGGTGTGTGTGTGTGTGTGTGTGTGTGTGTGTGTGTGCGCGCGCGCGTGTTGTATCTCCTAAGGATAAGTCTTGTCACACAAGAGCTCAGGGTGTTCAGAGCACTAGGCAAGTGTTGTCACTCAGCTACATTACTGTCCCATGAATTACTTTAAAATAAACTAGGAAATATTTATAGCTATGTCAGCAGCTGAGCTACTCACTGGGTATAGAATGATAAATTATCAGAAAGGTTATTCTTTGGAACCCTTGATAAAACTATATCAGCAGAACTTTTAATTACTTGCTTATTTCCTGAATATTGCATTGGTGGGTTTTACTTATTCACAAGATACTTACCTAGGCTTAAAAATGGCTTAGGGGGAGTGGTAAGATGACTCAGTGAGTGCGGTGCTTGAGGACCTCTGTTCAGGTATGCCCTTTGCCTCTACTACCAAGACTTGGGAGGTAGAGATGAGAAATCCCCGGGGCCAGCTGACTGGCTAGACTGTTCAAATTGAGTGAGAAAGGCACTCACATCAACTTTGGCCTTTCTTGTGGAAATGTATGTGTGCCACATGCACTGGTGGTACCCTAGTGATCCACCAGTGAGTGTGTGTGTGCGTGCATTATGAGTGTAGGTGCCTGTGGAGTTCAGAATAGGTTATTGGAGCTAGAATTGCAGGCTTTCCAGCGTGAATGCTGAGAATTGAACTTGGGTCCTCTTCAGGAACAACAACTTTTCTTCACACTTAGCCATCTTTCCAGCCCCAAACTACATTGTTTAATGCATTTTGCCATTTCAACAAGAGGCAGTGTGGCTGTGGATTTTATCAAATGTAGTACCATGTAAATACTCAACATATGGAGAGCATCAGTGCATATTTTGTTTTTATGTTTTTATTTCTTCTTGAGATAATTTTTCCTGTTTTTCCAACTTGTTTGTGATCTTTCTGTGCCAAGCTCATTGCACCAGCAATGCATCTGTTTTTTTCTAGTTTAAAATGATTAAAAATTATGGTTTTAACTTTCAAGACATCTTAATCCTTAACCAGAAGTTTGAAAAAGTGCTGCTTATCATCTTTGATAATCAGTTACATTGATGGGCCATTGTAGTTGAAGCATTAGTTGTGAATTATGTTTACTTACGAAAAGAATTTTGTTAGATTGTTCACACATTTATTTAGACCTGTTTTGCCTAGCTGTAAGAATGTATTTAATTCAATCCTTTTGGGTTATTAACTTGTATTTTCATACTTTACAGAATAGAAGAATCAGTGGCTTGAAAATTCAGCCAAGTGACCTGGCGGGATGGGCATTTGCCTGACACATTTTATAGAGGTAATCCAACATTGTTTTGTCCAGGCTGTAGTTTTTACATGAAAAATTGTTGTCAGATTTGCGCAGATACTCTTCATTTCCTGAATAGTCCTGTTCTATTGCTTATGCAGAACCTAAGCTCCAGAGACTAGCATGATAGTGTGATCTGCACATCTACACACTGAAGAGAATCATGTACTGAGTTGGCAGGTGAAGCCCATTGATCTCCTTTTTAGCCCCAGTTCCTTTATACTAGGAGGACTGTTGATCCCTTTTCTTTCTTTGCAGCCTTTCTTGGTGTTTGTATTAAACCTGTGCCTTTATCAAACAATTTGAAAGAAAATGAGATATTTAAACAGTTATAAAGATACTTACATATCTGCTAATAACACCTATTTTTTAAGGCATGGTTTCACTATGTAGCTCTGGCTGTCCTGGAACTTGCTCTGTAGACCAGGCTGGTCTCGAACTCAGACCTGCCTGCCTCTGCTGGGATTAAAGGTGTGAGCCACGTCTGGCTTGAAACTTGTATTCTTACGTCAGTATTGGTGGTCATAAAAAATTTAAAGTTGTATTGTGAACTTTTAAATTTGTTTTGAGAATTCTTTTAGAACTTTAGGATTGAAAATGTTATCTGTTTTGATGACCATATTTTAGGGCTTTCTTCTTTGTTCATGTCTTCTGGCAAATGTGGGAGCTACTCCTTGTAGCTTTCTTTACCTAGGTTTCATTGTAAGCAGTAGAGAATGTCACAGTGTTAAAATCAAACAGAAAAAGTGGCCTCCTCTCCCATTCTTTGTTAATATTGTATATTCTCTCAGACATCTCTCTGGACACACAAGCTCCTATTTACTTGTTAAAATTTTTTTGCTTTAATTTTTTACCCCCCATGATGAAGTCTTTGTATATTCTGTGCTAGCTTCAGACTCATTTTTTAGCCTGTGGTGGCCTTGAACTTTTGTAATACTCCTCTCCATGTTCCATCAACCAGGCCATATTTACATTTTTTAAAGACATTTTATTTGTATTGTATTTCAGTGTGCTTTTTAAATAAGCTCCCATATTTTGAGATCATTCCTTCTTATATTTCTTAATATTTAAATGTACATGATTGTTTTATTTAATAAGACACCTATTTATAGTTATTTAGTTTTTTAGCAAATTCTTGGACAGATCTGTAGCTATTTTGAATGTACCTACAATTTGAATTCCTTTTATATGAATTTTCCCCCCCATTTGGGTGTATGTCTATGTGAATATACTAGGCTGCAGATCTGTCTGTCTGAGCACACTACATCACAGGTGCTTACGCTTTTCCTGTATATAAGCTCAGAGGCTAAAAGGACAATCAGTATTCCTCTTTATTACTCCCACCTTTTTCCTTTGAGGTAGGGTCTCTCCTTGAACATAGGCTTTGTTTTCTGGGTAAGCTGCTGTCTTTGAGACCCTTGGAGCTGGAGTTGCAGGGCATTTGCAGGGATGCCTGGTGCATGTGGGTGCTAAACTCTGGCCCTCGTGGTTTTGGAACAAACACTTCTAACTGCTCAGTCATCCCTCTAGCTTCTACTGCTTACATTTCTAAGGGAAAAAGTGCTGGGGCCAAAGTGTGGTGGATGATTGACCTCTATAATGTATGCCCAGCACTAGTGGTTATCAGTGTGAGCACTGGTTTATCTCTTTGACAACACTAGCAAAAGATTTATTTGTCCCTTTTATACTTATGTATATTTGTGTATTAGGGAAGAATCCTTGTCATTATGTTAGGAAAATTATTTTTACTTAGTATTTGCTTTTCTTGTGATTTTGGTTTTGTTTCAGTCCTATAGAAGCTTATTTTTTTTTTTTCTGAATTGTTAGATATTTTTTATCCTTGGCTCTGGTAAACAGAGTGGAGAATTCTGCATCAGCTTGAAGAGATTGTAGTCCTTGAGTATATGATTATACATTCTTCTCTGTATTATAATTTCTGTGAATGACCCAAGTTTGACATTCTTGGTGATATAAAATTGTTGTGTATAATACTAGTAGTTTTAGAGTTAATAAATTTTGATAGTTAAAAAGTCACCAGTAGATCACAGAAGTAGATACACGGGAACTGTAGTAAAAGGGCTACATATGGTTCCAGGACTAGTTCAATGCTAGCTTTGGACACATGGTAAATTCCATGTTAGGATGGCTACTTGAGACCAAGTCTCAGAAAAAGAAGAAAACTTAGTAAGTTTGATGTTTAAAACATTTAGAAAAGATATTAAAAACCTACAAGGCCTCCTTGGCTGATCCATCTGTGTTTGTGGCTGTGGCCACGACTGCTCCTGATACCCAGCCAAGGCAAAGCTAAGGAAGAGTTGGCGGAGTCAGGTGAGGAAAGGGGATCTTGTCTCTTTAACGGATCCCTCCTGAAGCACCCAACTCAGCCAGTTTTGTTTGAGAAACATGGAAAGGAAGGCTCATTTCTTAAACAAACAAATGAAATGAGTAACCTTGTAAACAAATTGGAACAGTTGGCTCATCGTCTGGAATAAAGTAGTGTTGCTTATATATTTATATAAAGATATCATTAAATTCAGATTTCATTTTTGTCTTTTTGTGGGTTTTTGTTTTTCTTCCCCTGAGACAAGTTTTCTCTGTATTGCTCTGGAACTCGCTTTGTAGACCAGGCTGGCCTTGAACTCACAGAGATCCACCTGCCTCTGCTCTGCCTCCCAAGTGCTGGGAATAAAGGTGTGTGCTGTTTTGTCTACTTTCTAAATTCAGATTTAAAGTAATTCAAGTTATAGGAAGTAATAGAACTTTTATTTATCTAATTAAAATTCATTATGGTTGGAGAACATTTTGTATGAGTTTGAGTCCTTTTAATTTTGCTGAGGCTGTCTTGCTGCTTAGTATGGTGTCTGTGCTGGAGACTGTCTTACTCCTTAGTGGGATGCTGCTGCAGGTTGTTAACAGTGTGGTCTCTGCTAGAGAATGTACATTTAGAAGCAGTATTTTTCTTTTACTAACCTCTCTTTCTGTCCAGCCCACCCCCATTTGTGATCCCACCATCTTCTTTCCTTTGTTGTTATGGTTGGAAGGTAATCACTGATCTTCTTGATGGTTGTATTAGTTACTGTTCTGTTGCTGTGATAAAGCACCATGATTAAAGCAATTTATAAAAGAAAGCATTTAACTGGGCTATGGTTTTATGTATTTATTTGTTTGTTAATTAGTTTTTTCGAGACAGGGTTTATCTGTATAGCCCTGTCACTCTGTAGATCAGGCTGGCCTCAACTCAAAGATCCTCCTGACTCTGCCTCCTGAGTGCTGGGATTAAGGGCATTTGCCACCACCCAGCTGGGCTAGGGTTAGAATCCATGATGGTGGAGCAAACACATGGAGCAGGAAGCAGGAGGCAGAGAGTACACTGGGAATGGCTTTCTCAGAAACCTCAAAGCGCACCCCTAGTGGTACCATTGTTCCAACAAGGCCACACCTCCTTATCCTTCCCAAACAGTTCTGCCAGCTGGGGTCCAATATTCAAATATGAGCCTATGTATAGGCCATTGTCTTTCAGACCACCACAGTGCTTTCTTGCACACATGCCTTGCTTTCAAGATCTTTTCCCCTTCTGTTTACTTTCAACAGTTTTATTTTGATGGATCCAGGAATAGTTCTTTTTGTATCTATTGCAATGGAAGTTCACTGAGCTTGGATTTGTAAGCTTATTTTTTAAAATTAGTCAAATTTGGGGACTATTTAACTTCTGTCTTAGTAAATTTTACTTCTTTTTCTCTGTCATCCTTATATTAAGAAATATTTGTAAGCAGGGTGTTGGTCCACTTATCTTTGGGTCTCTTTTTTTCTCTGTATTGAGTAACTCTCTTTCTCATAAAGATTAACTTACTGTATTTGTTTACTCTTGTTTGTGCAAGGGGTTGCATGTATGGAAGACAATGTGTAGGAGTTGGTTCTCCTTCCACTCAGCTCATCAGGCTTGGCAGCAAGTACCCTCCCTACCCACTGAGCAATCTGATCAACCCTAATTGGGTAATTTCTATGGATGTACATTTAAGCCTACAGGTTTCATTTATTTCTATTTCTTTTGCAATTGTGAATTTGTTTTTGAATACTTGGCATACATTTTTGTATTTCAATACAGAATCTTCAATCCCCAAATTTCCATTAGAGTCTTTGAAATAATTTCTTTCCTTTGTTGAGAATTTTACTTGGTAGCTGATCATTTTCATAGTTAAGTTCATTTATGAGTTGAGTTTATTTAAATTAATGTTTTGAGATCCTTTTTTTAAACCAACCCATGAGGGCACTTAGAAACACCTTCTATTGCCTGTTGCTTTTGATGAATATCTGCCTGCCTGCCTGCCTGCCTGCCTGCCTGCCTGCCTGCTTTTTTGAGACAGCCTTTCTATGTAGCCCTGGCTGTCCTGGTACTGGATATGTAGACCAGGCTAGCCTTGAATTCACAGAGATCTGCCTGCCTCTGTATCCCAAGTGCTGGGGTAGAGGGTGTGAGCCACCACTCCTGGCTTGTGTTACTGCCTTTTTCTGGTTCATACTAGGGACTGAATCTAGACTTCATGCATACCATGCAAGGACTCTACTATGACCCAGTGGTATGAGTTATATTTTCTGATATGTTTAAGAGTCTTATGATTGTTGAAAATGAGTATTTTGCATGATGCATGTTATAAATATATAATATTGCAAGTCTAAATTGTTGCTTCCTACTTTTCAAGTAGTTGTTATTTTTAGTATTATTTATGTGTGATAACAATTCTGTTGACAAAGAACATATTTTACTTTGTACACATTTTGTTAGAAAAATAAACAAATACCTAGGAAAATTCAGGAATGGAATACTAAGCATGAATAGGTCTGTATTTTACCTTTCACATGCTCATAGAAATTTATCATTATTGTAACAGGCCTCACCGTAGCACTGACGGGCTGGACTCAAACTCACAGAAGTCACCTGCCTGTGCTTTCTGAATGCTTGGGAATTACTACTGTTTTGCTTTGTGCCATGGTAAACATGTACAATCATAGGTTGTTTTGTAAAGCTGATCCAGACTGTTCATGGAGCCCCTAAGTTACGAAATTTCGTAGTCATTTGAAATTTGATCAGAAGTGCTTGCTGTCAGAACTTTTCCTTGTGGATAGCTTGTACTCTTTGGTGTTCATTACATGGCACATTTTCTGAATGATTATTTCCATCTTTTTGTCAATTTGTTTTCCATCTAAGATAACCCTGATGATGAAATTTGTATATCTAGATGGTTACGTGATTTTTAAGATGGTACTCTTTCTATTGTGAATACACATAATACTTGTGCTTGCTAATTTCGAGACCTACATTTGTTTGCTTCTCTTTCACTTCACAAACTTTTTTGAGATCAGGCTGACCTAGAAATCAGAGGTCTATCTACCTTTTTAGTACTGGAACTAAAGGCATCTATCACTGCACTAGTCCACAGACCTAATAGAGTAGCTCTGACCTAGTGTCTTTGTGTGGTTGCTTAATCTTTGTTTTCCATTTTCTTTTAGTTTTGTAGCCCCCTGAATTTTGATGTAGTATTTCATATCTCAGAGTTTATATTCCTCACCTAGGCAAATTATATCTGCCTAAAATCTTAACCATCCGTCCATCCATCCTCTATCATCCCTTTGTCCGTCCGTCCGTCCATCCATCCATCCTTTGTCCACCCACCCACCCATCATCCACCCATCCACCCACCCATCCATCCATCTGTCCGTCCATCCATCTACATAACATGTAAGGTAGGGAGGGAGAACTTGTAGAGGTCAGAAGGACAGTGTGGTGGAACCAGTTTCCTCCTTCCATGTGGGTTCCAGGAATGAGACTCAAGTTATCAGGCTTGGTATCATGCATCTTTACCTGCTGAGCCCTTTCTCTGGTCCCAAGGCAAATTAGTTCTTAAAAATACCTAACACTATTGTATTTTCTCAGTTTCATACCTAAAAAACAAACCAGTTTGTTCTCCTTCAGACATGGCTCACTAGATCACTTCAGTGTTCATACAGTTTGCACTTACAGTGTCACAGCACTTTTCTGAATGTAATATATTTTGCTTATTAAGTGTGTTTTTAATTTTAGGAATTGGATGGCACAAGTGACTGAGAGAATCTTGAGAGTTTCTGGAGCCTATGAAAGGTAGAAACTCAACCATGATTTCTTTCTCTACTCAACAGCATTCCCTTCCTTGAAGTCTTCAGTTTTACTTCAGTCTCAGGTAACATATTTCTCGTAACCTTGAAAAAAGTATATTTTATTTATTTATAAAACTATTTTAATTAAGTCATGGATAAAAATAGCACACAGTCTTGAGGCAGCCATTCTAACTGTATAGTTCACTGATATATGCAGAGTTTTGAACTGGTCAAATGTTTGGAGTGGCTCCTTAAATCCACTGTGTTAAAGAAATTAAGCTTTTCAGATATATTTAAACTGGTTTTGTTGGATGATAGATTTCATATTGGGTTTATATAATAGTTTCAGTTTAGATTTTTATATCTGGAGAAATCTTTTTTTTTTTTATTTTTTATTTTTTTTTAATAAAGAGAGTTTTTCCCCTTAGACATGGTCTTACACGATTGTCCCGGAACTCACTATATAGACCAGGTTGGCCTCGAACTCACAGAGATCTACCTGCCACTACTTCCTGAGTGCTGAGATTAAAGATATGCCCCACCACTGCCTGGCTAGATTCCATCTTATTGAGTGTGGTTACTATAGTACCTGCCCAGTGGTGAGAAGAAAACTGGAGAACACTATGCAATTTATTATTTTAGGTTATGTGTATGGGTGTTTTACTTGTATATCTGTAATCCATGTACTTGCATGGTTTATGCAGAGGCCAGAAGAGGGTTTCAGATCTGGAACTGGATTTACAGCTGGTTGTGAGCTGATGTGTGGATGTTGGGAATTGAAACCAGGTTCTCCAAAAGATCAGTCAGTGATTTTTAACTACTGAGCCATCTCCAGCTTTATTATGCTCTTTTTCCTTCTTATCAGCAATTGTATGTATATCTTCCATTTATATCCTATTGGCCATAACTTTGTTATTTGACTACCACCTGTAAGGAGGTCTTGGGCAATAAGTTTTACCTTGGCAGCTATGTGCCCCATAAATTTAGAGTTTTCTTTTGTTGTTGTTTATCGTTATGGGTGTTTTGGCCTTTGTGTATATATGAGCAACATGTGCATGCCTGCTGCCTATAGAGGTCAGAAGATTGTGTTGGAGACCCTGGAACTAGAGTTACAGATGGTTGTGAGTCACTGTGTGGGTGATGAGAATCAAACCAGGTCCTCCTTAAGAGGAGCATGTGGTTCCATCCCCATCCCCCAAACAGGGTTTCTCTGTGTAACAGCCCTAGCTATCCTGGAACATATTCTGTTGACGAGGCTGGCTTTGAACTAACAGAGATCCACCTGCTTCTGCCTTCTGAGTACTGGAATTAAAGGCAAGGGCCACCACTGCCCTTAGAGTCATCTCTAGCTCTATCATATAACTTATTATTAGATAGAAGATAGATAGGTTTTAGGTGTGGGTATTAGGCAGCCAGCTGTCTGACACACTTATTGTATCATATTTAATGTTATTAGATTTGTTTTAGACAAATCTTGGTCAGTAATGAAGTACATTAAACAAATTAATACCTAATTAATATTACATTTTAACATTTCTTCATTGTACCCAGGGAAGTTTTCTCACATCTGTATTACATGGAATGATGGAATTCAGTTTTCTAATGGAGTCAGTCGTTTGAGTCTGTGTTGGTACCAAATATGTTGGATGCTGTATATAACTAGGACTCAGGGTTGCTCACTTGGTGTGCCCTCTCCCCAAATAACTTCTCGATACAGATAAATTATATCTGCTTCTTAAATAGTTTGAGTTAGCAAAAATGTAATTTTTTAATTTCTCTATGCCAATATTTTCTGGTTGTGTTGCTTTAGAAGACATACTGATAAATATTTGGAATATGTTATGTGCTTAGATCCTATGTTTTCAAGGGGTTTTCCTATTATGTGGGAATGTCTACTAATTTTTCCTGAAGTATTTATAGATTATTTCTTATATGGTTAAAAGTGGTCAGTTTTATTTGAGTTGTTCTTTACAAAATGGATGACCCTTATCTTGAAAAATCTCTTAATTGTTAATTTATTAATATCTGTTAAAATTATGACTATCACTTCAATATAGAACTTCTGTTGCTGCTGGCACTGATCAGAAAGACCATTTTGTTTTATTGCCATTATAAACATGGCTCTTACTAGGATGTTTTGAAATATTAGCACTTAAAAATGTAGTTTTCAAGAAAGACTTTATAATATGCAAAATGGTTTTTATACATAGATGTATCTGAGCTGGGCATGGTTTCATGCCTGTAACTCTTCGTACTTGGAAAGGATGAGGCAGGAGGATTGCTATGAATTCAGGGCCAAACTGGGTTGAAGAGTGAAGACTGTCTCAAAAAAACCAAAAGAAAAAGGAAAAGTATATTTGAGATGTATCTGAATATAGACTATGCTTAGACAAGAAATATTTTGATTTTCAATGAAAAATAAACAATTTTGAGTAGTTCAAAGCTATATTTTGAAGGAATGAAGTAGAAACTTGTCAAGGTTCATTCTGGTATTAATTGAGGTTTCTTCATTTCATCAAATTTGATATCATGAGGCATAATATGTTATGAGCACACATCATCCCCCACCAAGCATACCCACATACATATGCATTTTGTTTGCCTTGCTGTACTGACCTGGCTAGCAAGCACTAAACTTGTATCCCATGTGCTATGGCTGTAGTCATGCAGCACCACAACCAGCTGGTTGGTTGACATTTGTTGTTCTCAAGTTATGTGTTTGCAATGGATCTCTCTCTGATTTGTAAATAGTGTAGAACTATGAATTCCAGATCAGTGTAACTGAAATCCTCCAAATAAACAGGGGTTTGGTGAAACTGTTTTGGTTCAGAAGCCATTTGTGAGGGATATAGCTCAGTGGTGAATGCTCACCTAGCATGCCCACGTCTCTGGGTTCTATCCCAAGCTCCTTGGTGATAGGCCAGAGAAATAATTGATTTTTAGAAAAAAAAAAAAAAAAAAAAAAAACCTTCTTTGTGTGTCTGCCTAAAGAGAAGTTTGTGTCTGGTGGGTGTTCCCAACCCCCACTCCCTACACCCCATGACAGTGTTTCTCTGTTCGCTATAGTCCTGGAACTCACTCTGTAGGCCAGGCTGGCCTTGAGAAGCTCCTATTTAGCCTCATGGGTTCTGGTTTAAGGGTGCATATTGTTGACCCTTTCTTAAGTTGGAAAATACTCTTTTCATAGAAAATAAAATGATGTTTAGGTCTCTAACCTTGACTGTCGTATTCTGTTTTGACTCATAATATACATTTGAAGTTCCATATTACTCAGTGACAAAAAATAGGAAATGCTGTAACTACCAAGCTCAACAAACAGACAGAAGGGCAGGATCTTGAACTGAGATTTTTTTTTTTTTTTTTTTTTTTTTTTTTTTAATGCTTGAATGCAGGTTATTTAAACTGGTGGAGACAGGGATAATGTTTCCCAAAGACCCAGCCCCATGACCTGCTTCCTCCAGCTAGGTTCTACCTCTTTAAATTTCTATACTCTCCCCCCAGAACCACCCACATTGAGGTGCCAACCTTTTTAATAAATAAGCCTCTTGGGATAGGGGAGCAATTCATTATCAAACCAAATGTTAGGTCAAGAGTACCCACAGTTTCCTGGGCACTGTGAGGCATGACTTTAATCCCAGCACTCGGGAGACAGAGGCAGGTAAATCTCTGTGAGTTTGAGGCCAGCCTGGTCTACAGAGTTCCAGGTCACCCAGGGCTGTTTCACAGAGAAATCCTGTGTGTGTGTGTGTGTGTGTGTGTGTGTGTGTGTGTGTGTGTGTGTGTGTGTGTTTGGGGGGGGTAGGGGACTACACACAGTTTTTCTTTTGATAAATATTTCCCAAGCCTGGTCTACAGAGTTCCAGGACACCCAGGGCTGTTTCACGGAGAAATCCTGTGTGTGTGTGTGTGTGTGTGTGTGTGTGTGTGTGTGTGTGTGTGTGTGTTTGGGGGGGTAGGGGGCTACACACAGTTTTTCTTTTGATAAATATTTCCCAAGCCTGGTCTACAGAGTTCCAGGACACCCAGGGCTGTTTCACAGAGAAATCGTGTGTGTGTGTGTGTGTGTGTGTGTGTGTGTGTGTGTGTGTGTTACACACAGTTTTTCTTTTGATAAATATTTCCCAAGGCTTACTTTAAAGTAGGAGCAGTGATCATTGATACCAAAGTATTTTTGCTATTGCAGGTAAACTGTGTCTAACACATTTGTAGTTATCCAGTTTAAGTCTAAATATTTGACTTAATATAGGATATTAGGAGTATGTAGCCATGGGTGAGAAGGAAGAGTCTTGTCATCTTGCCATATAATTGTTTTCAGGAAGATTTTTGAAGAGGCCAGGTTTGTTTTCTCCCTGGTCTGTTTCTCCTTATTTTTAATTTGCCTGCTCTATTTGAAGCATGCTATTTTCCTATTGAAGTACTTGATGCTTCCTTCACCCCAAATATCCTTTGTCTCTAAAGTGCTTCCTTAATACTTGCTTCAGCTTGATATTGTATTTTATAAATTTGTATGTTTGTCCCCCTCCCAAATTGATACAGGTACAGGAATATAATTTTCAATTTTTGATCAAAACTGTGGCAGTTAAAATCCTCTACTATAGGCCCCCAGTTTGGGCAGGAGTAGCATTATCAACTGAATGCTTTTCTTTTGATAACACAAAACAAAACCTGAGTTTTCCCCAAACCACTTACTTTAACTTGATTTTTTAAAAGTTCTTTTTACATCTTCTAAAACTCAGTTTTTAAAAAATAATTGTAGATGTGCAGCAATAGATGCAATAAATATCCTGCAAATTGGGGGCTTTCCATATTCTTTTTTTTTAAATTTTAATAATTTTATCTCCAGTATATTTTAAAAATCATAAATGGGGTTTGCAACCCAAAGCAATTTATTGTCAAACCAAATGTTAGGTTAAGAGTACCCACAGTTTCCTGGGCATTCTTTAGAGGCTGACAGGCAGTTCAGACCATACTTTTTCAAACCTATTTTCTTTATTATTTTTCAGATTTCTGAGGCCTAGTATTTAAACTGTTCTATTCTAAATATGCATGACTCTCTCTGGTACAGTTTTCCACATTTTAAAAGAAAACAATAGATAGTTTAGAAATAAAGCATAGTTTTCAAGGGTTTCCAGAGTATTGACAAGAATAATCAAATTTTAGCCCTTTACACATTTACTTGGTTGTAGAATGGCTTGTTCTCTAAGAAACATGTAAAACAGAGTGAAGATAGAAGCTATAAACAATTGACCTTTAAGAGTTTGTTTGCTATGTGAAGATTTTGAGAAGTAATATCAAATGCTGCTCTCTGGTCATCTTATGTCCTCCGTCCTGAAAATACCTGGTACCTGAGAAGGCAAGACAAGCAAGTCTGAGTTAGACTTTTGTTTGCTCTGCAGTTTATAAAGGTCTATGAACTGTTCACATAAGAAAAGGCCATCCCTTGATGGCCTGGGTAAATAAAAGGACATTTTGATTTTAGTCATGATTGGAATTTAACTTAATTTTGGTGATAAACCAAAAGTGATCTTCAGCACTGTCTTTAGAGAAGAGGTCAGTAAACCAAAGCGTAAGACTCACTCCCTGTACTCATTCACTTGGAGATTGAGGATTATATTCATCCTGTGTACTCTCATGTTCTCAGAGTGCAGCAGTGTGCTGGACTTGCAGGCATGTGTACTGTGCCCATTGGATGTGGTGCTGGGGCTTACTGAGTGTGTCTGCCAAGTGCTGCACTAACTGAGCCAGGTCACAGCCCTTTCTTAGGATTTATGAAGGGTTTTATTTGCTTCAGTGGTTTGCCTGTTAGTATTCTCTGTCAGGTTATGTTTTCCTCCTTTTAAATTTATGACACTATAATATGTTGAAATCTGAAGGTTTTTGAACCTACAAATACTTCTTTTAATCTACTTTGCGTAATATTCAATTTCAGTAATGAAATAAACTAGGATTATCCTTAATTTAAAAGTGAAAGCTTGTTTTACTTTTCTAGCTTCTGGAAGTCAATCTTGGTAATTAGAATTAGATAAATAAAAAACTTTCTGTTTGAATGTATACTTTTTATAATTTGAAAAAAAAAAAAGCCTACCATGTTAGACATATAAGCTAATTTGTTATGCTTTGTTACCAAACTTGATTTTTCTAGGCAGTTATACTTAAGCATGAACATTGACGACAAACTGGAAGGATTGTTTCTTAAATGTGGCGGCATAGACGAAATGCAGTCTTCCAGGGCAATGGTTGTAATGGGTGGAGTGTCTGGCCAGTCTGCTGTGTCTGGAGAACTGCAAGAGTCAGTACTTCAAGATCGAAGTTTGCCTCACCAGGAGATCCTTGCTGCAGATGAAGTGTTACAAGACAGTGAAATGAGACAACAGGATATGATATCGCATGATGAACTCATGGTTCACGAGGAGACGGTGAAAAATGATGAAGAACAGATGGAGACACACGAACGCCTTCCTCAAGGACTTCAGTATGCACTTAATGTCCCTGTAAGTACTAACTCGACACTGAGCTAAACTAGAGATGCTAATGTGGAAGTCACCACAGAAATCACAAAGTTTAAAGGCCAGTCATTCTCTTAGTAGACCGCCTAAGCTGTGGACAGCCAGCCATCAGATTTGAAAAGCAGAGTTTTGTGTCATTATTTTAGAAATCTATCCTTTCCAACATTTATTTCTTTGGCCAAGTTATGTGTGTACTAGTTTTAAGTACTTACTTTGAAAGACACTGAATATTTTAGCATTTGGGTGTTTGTTTTGATTTTTCTCTATGTAGCCCTGGCTGTCCTGGAACTCGCAGGGGGATTGCTGGCTTGCATCAACACCACCCAGCCTAGCATCTATGTTCATAAAGAGCATGGAGCCTGGACCTTAAACATGTTAGAGAAGGATCACATTCTGGGGTGTTTGTGTCTTATTCCTGCCGCTTTTTGTGTACTATTGAGACTGACCTCAGGGTCTCATGTACTCTGCCTTTTTCCATTTTTCTGGTGTCCCATCCTCTTTGTATATACTTGGTTGCGTTCTGTCTTTGGAAACAGTATCAGGCCTTTACTCTTCCCTGTCCTAGATATTAGGGCTCAGCACTGAAGGTGTTCTTTCTGGCTTTTTGGTTGTTTTTTGGTTGCTATTTGTTTGTTTGCATGTTTGTGGCAGTTTGTCACTATATAGCCTAGGATGGCCTGGAATTTGCTGTGTCGACCAGGCCATCCTTAAAGTTTGTCACAGCTTCCTGCCTCTGCTTCCTTGGTGGTGGAATTTCACCTACCCCAAGATAGTCCCTTTTAGGTACCCGTGTCTTACTTGTCTTCTTCCACCTTTTCATTTATTTGTGTTTGATGAAGAGTCTTATAGGCACGCTGACACCACACCCAGTTGTCTGCTTTAAAAAAAAAAAAAAAAAACTCGGTAATGAGTAAAACCACAACCATATTCTAAGTCTTATCTCTTACACCACTGGTATGAGGTTCTGAGGATCTTATCCCTCTGCATTATCAATGCTATACTTGTTCTTTGCGTGAGGATCATTATATATCCTGCCTGAATGTTTAGCCACAACTTTTTGTTCTTTAGCATAGTGCTTCTTCCTCACCGTCCTGCAACTTCTACGGATGCTAGGTTGGACCCTGAAATGGAGATTTGTGATGACTTGTTCATGGTCTCTCTTGGTAGATTGTGGATTCTAGGCTCCCTGCCTCCCTCCCTCCCTGTCTCCCTGCCTCCCTCCCTCCCTGTCTCCCTGCCTCCCTCCCTGTCTCCCTCCCTCCTTCCCGTAACCCAGGTTTTGAAACATAACGTGAAAAACTGGGTAACCATTTACAACTATGCATATATACACCACCTTGTGTCTACTCAGTTGCAGAGGTCCCTTTATAGTGGCCTACATGAATTGGTGCTTGAGTGTTGAGCCAGTTTCATGTGCCTTTAATGAATCCTTGTACAATTCTTTGTATACATAATTAGATTTGGTTTGATACTTTACTTTTCTAACTTAAGAAAAAGAGTGTTGTGTAATTTTCTTTGCCTCTGATGTCATTGTTTAGTTTTGATGTTTGGTATTCCAATCCTCAGAATAAGTTAGGAACTAGTCCCTGTTCCTGTCTGCTAGAGCCAGGCAGTAGTGGTGCATGCCTTTAATCCCAGCACTCAAGAGGCAGAGGCAGGCGGATCTCTGTGAATTTGAGGCCAACCTGGTCTACAAAGCTACACAGAGAAACCCTGTCTTGAAAAACAAAATAAAGTAATATTTCTGTCAGCCAGAAAAGAGGAGAGAGTTGATTCACATTCCCTTATATGCTTGCTAAAATTCATCAGGACCTGGTGCTATTTTAGAAGACTTAGAGAAATCTTTGACAAATTCTCTTTTATAGATCTGGGCCTATTTAGATCATCTCTTTTATGAATCTCAGCAGTTTGTTTCAATAAACTGGTCAATTCTGTTGAAGTTTTCCAGTTTTCAGACACAAAGCTGTTCCCAGTTTTATTACTTGTTTAATGCCCATGTAGTTGCTTCTTTTCTGTTTGATATCAGTAGTGCTTTTTTCTCTCAGCCTGGCTATAGGCACATGTTTTGTTGTTTAGTGCCATTTACCATTCTTAATTTTATAGCTGAGTAGTGCTAACCTGTATTTGCAGAGTTTAGAGTGGTCTCTAGAGCTTCCTTATCGTGTAAAACTGATACCATATCTGTTGAGTACTGCACTGTGCCACCTTCCTCCGGAAGTGGCTTACTGATTTTATTGGTATCTTTAAGAAACACTAATATTTCATTTTTTCTGTTGATTTCTTCTTTTTTAAAATTGATGTTATTTTTGACTGTGTGTGCGTGCATGTGTGTGTGCGTGTGTGTGTGTGTGTGTGTGTGTGTGTGTGTGTGCGCGCACGCGCGCACACTCGCTGGGGGGGGGTGTCCCTGTAGAGACCAGAAGAGGGCCTCTGATGCCCTGAAGCTGGGGTTACAGGTGACAGCAAGGTGGTTGTATCTAGTAATCTATAGACTTTGAGTGGAGAGACTGTAGCCTGAACATCCTTTTCCTTTTAGTTTCTACCCAAATGAGAGAGAAAGAACTTGTTACTCCCTCAGTCAAATGGCTTCATTTGTACCTCAGTGGTTTCATTGACTTACTTCTTTTATAGGAGGTTATTGCACTCTCCCTCTATTTCCTTTCTAGGAAATCAGACGATATTAGTTTACCAGGTCCACTGTGACAGTTAATGTTTCTTTTATATATGCTATATTTATTTATGCCTGCAATATTCTTGTTGACATCTTAGCTTTTGAAAACTTTTGCTTTGTATGATTTTTATTGTGGTCAACTTAATTTTGTTAATCTTTGCTTGTAAGATTATTGTTATTATCCTTTAAGGCTTATTTTCTAGGCCTTGCCTTTAAATTTTCTGAGTTTAAAATTTTTTTCTCATTTTTTATTATGTTTATGTGGTTTCCTTTTTTGAAACATAGTCTCTCTCTGTTTTGTACCTGACTCTTCTAGAAATCACTATGTAGGCCAGGCAGGCCTCAACTCAGAGAAATCCACCTGCCTCTGCCTCCTGAATGCTGGGATTAAAAGTGTATTCCACTATATAAGGGTAGATGTGTGTCTGTGTGTATGGGTTTGTGCATGTGGAGGCTGGAGGTGTCTTCCTGGAGCTGGAGTTAGAGGCAGCGGTAAGTAGGGCGCTGGAAACTTTGTCCTCCTTCTCAGCAAGATCAGCTCGCATTCTTGACCCGAGTTGTTTTTTCACTCCCCAATTTTGTATTCTAAATACTTGGGCTATCAAGGCAGCCCAGGCTTTTAAGTGAAGATGCATTTTGTTTTTATTTGAGGAAAGATTTAAAGTGAAAAGCTTCTATTTTCAATTCAGAGTTCAGACAGCTGCATACATATAATCCACAACCCATCATGATACAGAACATTTTCATTATTCTAGAAGGTTGTTTTGTAATTCTTCCCAGTCGATTACCTCCATAGTTGTTAGGATTCTTTTCCATCATAGTTTATTATTGTCTCTCTTGGAAATTTCATGTAGTGGAATTATATGTTGCGCTCATGTCTGGCTGCTTTGGTGAAGCATGTTATTAGTTTATATCCATGTTGACTGAGTATTAATACTTCATTCTTTTTCCTTGTTGACTAATGTTTTATTACTTTAATATCTGAACATCATGATCTTTCTCTTCCTTGTGTGTGCTTTCTCATTTTAATAAAGCTATTATTAAATGTATTTATTGCTCTTCACTTTTTCTGGATTTTTGTAGGTCTTCTCTGGAGTTTTGTTTCTGTTTGCCTGGCTTAGTGTCTGTCTTTAAGTCAGAATCACTTTTTGACTCTATTCTCCATGGTAAAGTTTGAAATCAGGTAGAATAATGCCTCCAGTTTTTTTTTATTTTTTTATTTTTTTATTTATTTATTTTTTTTTTGCGCAAGACTGTTAGGACAGTTTATGTCCCTGTATTCCATATGCAGACTCAGTCTTCATTTAGAGTCAACTGGTTTTTATTTGGATCACGTTAATTCTAGGTATTGGTTTTATTATAATCAACATTTAAATAGCAGTGACTTCTAATTCGTCAGATGGCATACCTCTGCACATTTTTGGTTTTCTTCAGTTTACCCCAGCATTGTCTATAGTTTTCAGTGTTGTGTAATTAAACACATTTTGTTTGGATGCTGTAGCAAATAGTATTATTTAAAGTATCATTTTTTAGTTAATACAAGGATAAAGAACAGCAGTTGCTTTTCCTGTTGACTCTTCTGGGACACTGTTAGGGTGGCCTGTCTGTTAGTTCTCAGAGTTACACTGTATTCACTTTTATGCCCACCAGCACACTTGCATGAGCTTCCTTTCTTTGTGGAGAACCTTTCTACTATGCCTGGGATCTGACATCTTGAGAAATATCTTTTGGGAAATGTATTGGCTTGCTGGCAATTGCACCTCAAGCCTGCTAGGCAAACACTACCTTTGACCTACAATAACTTACACACCCCGAGCTGCTTTGACATCTGCTTTTACTGGGTGGGCTTTCCATGCAGTACTCTAGCTAACAGTGTGGGGACTGAGAACCTCTTGGGTAGTTGATAGGAAGAGCAGAAAGGGGAAGAGACAAGAGCTAAACATTTGTAATCCATCCCTGCCCTACTCCTAACCCTCTGCCCACCTCCAATCTGGTTTCCACTCTGTAATTTGGTCATTTTTAAGGATGTTTTATTAATGAAAGCAATAATATGTGACCTTTTGTGACTGACTTTTTTACTCGACATATAAATGAATCAGAGCTGTCATCTGTAATCCATTCTTCTTAGGTCACAGGTCAATACTCTCTTATTGAAAGTGCATTGTAGTTGTTTCCAACTTTTGGTTGGTACAAGTAAAACTGTTGTGGACATAGGTACATGGGGCTTATGTGGATACAGGTGTTGATATCTGCAGAATGACTGTCCTTTCATGTTCTTAGCCTATCCATCACTGATACATGACCACCTCTAACA